TCTCATAGCAAACAAATCAGACTTAGATGGTAATATCTGAGGATAGCAGGAGGATTCATTTGCATACATTATTTACCTCCATTTGGAATATCCTCCCTTGAACTTGCTCACAGAAAGGCCTTCTATTCTTTGGGAAACATTTCAAATGCTAACTTTAAAAAAATCTTCTTCAGTTGGACGTAATTTCTCTCCTCCTTGGCTTCTCATAGGACTTTAATTTCTCCTGGCATTTACTCTCTTCCACATCAAAGTCTATTTATTCATATGGAGACAGGATTCCATAGTGGTTAAGTAGATTCTAGTCTGGTGCCAGATTCCCTGAGTTTGAATCCCAATTTGGCACTTGCTAGCTGTGTGACCTTGAGCAAATTACTTAACCTCTCTGTGCTTCATTCACCTCATCTGCAAAATGGGAATAATACTAATCCACTTTATATGTGGCTATTATGAGGATTTAATGAGGTAATATACTAATATATGAGTTAATTTCATCCTTAAAACAGGTCTAGCCGCACAGTCAGCACTACATAAGTGCTGGCCATTATTGTGGATCTGTCTGGCTGGAAGGCAGTAACAGCATCTTACTCAGTTTAATGTTTCCTTTAGTTCTGACCACACGGCTCTGGACAGAGGTTTATTGACCATCCTAATTGTATTTGGGCTTTAAGAAAACACATGTCTTTAATCAAAGTGCCTGGAACCTGAGCCACTTTGGGTCTGTGACTTCCTAGCCCCTCTTCCAGGAGCTAAGCTCTCTGCTCTTCTCAGAGGGAACAGCAGGCAGCTGCTCCACCAGGAGGAGCTCAATGCCTTCAGACCCAGACCCTGTAAAGCCTCAAACCCAGACCCTGCAAGCCTCAAACTCAGACCCTGCAAAGCCTCGCCTCCATGCCACCACCTGTGCCCTCCCTAACCTCCTTCTGCACCAAAGTTTCTGCTGTTTCCCAATGTGCCGGGCTCTCTTTCCACTTTTCACCCTGAATATGTATGCTCTTCCCTTTGTCTTGTTGAATCTCTGTAAGGTTTGACACCTGCCTTTCCCACCTACCCAATGTCCACAAAAGCACATATGCTGAGACTATGTGTGTAACACCAGTTGCGGTCCTGCTTGGCTCCCTGCTTCTTGTAAACATTCCACATCAGCAAACATAGACCTGCTTCTATCAAATTCCACTGCATAAATAGACCATCTTTATTTAACTACTGAGAGATAGAGAAACGGTTTCCAGGTTTTTGTGTCTTTTTCAATAGAAGTACCCCCAGGAAGAATAACTCAAGTTCCCGCTGCTTTGTTGCGAACAGGTTTACCAGATGCTCTGAAAGCAGACAGCAGGTAGGATGAGCTTAGGGCAGCCTGAGAAGAAGAGCCCTGTGAGGATAAAGAGGACTGCCCGAGCCTCTCTTAGGATGCAGGTTGTGCAAAAACGCCAGGATCTCACTATCCCTTTACAGACAACTTCACTGGGACCCGGTGGTCACTAGCGCAGGGAATACAGCAGTTGGCAGAGATTCTCAGAAAGTTTAAAATGAGCTCGAATATGCAGGTGGAAAGCTGAAAGGCATTTCCCCTTGGAAATAAGACTGAGTTTTCAGCAGTCACAAATCTTAAGAATTCCAAGAAGAAATGTAACCTAAAAATACCATCTTTCTGCCCTGTACGCTTTACAGCCCTGGAGGTTGGAATCCTCCTGAGATTTAAGGGTACCCCTTACTGAAAACCAGCCCTTCTTCCCATGGTGCCAGAGCCTCCCCAGGCACAGCCAAAGATGGAGTTTGGCTGGAGGGAATTCAGCACTGCGACTTTAACAGGGCGTGCCAGGCCGCTGCTGCAGTCTCTACTGCAGTGAGCTCTGGGCGGCAGCAGCCCCAGGCTGGGCGGAGGCTGTCCCAGTGTCTGGGCTGAACCCAGTGCCTGAGGTGCCACCCCTGCAGAGACCTACCAACAGGGCCACCCATGAGCTACTTGGCTTCGGTGATGACACCATGAGCTCCTGGTGTCTACAGATTAATACACAAGAGAGAAATAGCACAAACTGCTTTTTTAAAACAAGGCTCCCAACAGACGTTCAATAATTCATTAGAGACAAAGCACCTAAGGGGAATAAGCAATTTCTAAAGCTTAGGTCAGAGATGCTTCCAGATACATACAACATTGGGCTTTTACAGAATTTTCAAGCTTAAGCTCTGAATGCAGATGGTTTTTTGGTTTTTTTTTTTTTTCCACTTTTTGCATTTTTCACACTTTGGGAAATTTTCTCTGCTCTGATTGTGCTATTTTGCGAGGGTTTATTTAACCTTGTTATAGCAAAAACTTCACTCATTTGAGGACTGTGACTCATCAAGAACATGAGACCACATGAGCCTGTTAGAAAAAGGTTTTCGTTCATGGTCATGGCCACGTCAGTGACACTCCTAGCAGAATTTGTGTGCCATTGGAGCATTTGCCTGCATCCTCCCTCAATTAGACTTCCTCAAGTACTTTATATAAGATTTTCCCCCTTTTTCAAGAGCCTGCAGTTACATAAAGATATATAGAACACAGCACCAATTAAGTGTCTTCCGTCTCCTCTTAAACTTCCCACCTTCCAGATCTTACTAACAAAGATGACAAACCCAATTAGGTGGTTTAAAATAGCAGGTCTCTGCGATAGCCCCATGGAGGCAGCTATATATTACTTTACAGCATCTTATACCCTAAGCGAAAGGTCCAAAAAAGGAAACAAAGATAATAATATGTTCCTGCTCCTGTTGGATCGTAATTTGGCTTGTTGAGCTAAATCGTCATAGAAGAGCTGAATGTTCCAGCCCATTGCAGGGTGCTCGATATATATTTCCCTCCCACTTATTTCTTTATAGGGGAAGCAAAGCACTAGGCAGAGAGGGAAAAAAGGTGAGCGTTCCATCAACTTTTGCTTTATTGGAGAATTAGTCCTCATAGGATTCATTCTATAAGTGGTTAGTTACAGTGCCCTTAGAATAAGAGTCAAAAGAGTGAGGAGACTTTGTGCTCACTTTGGCAGCACACACACACACACACACACACACACACACACAAAAGTGAGGGGACTTAATATGCTTGCACATACATGCAATATTTGCACAGACATACTCAATGCCTTTTTTTTCCCAACTTAAATTTTCTCTCTTTGGAGGCTCCTGCCACCTAATGGTCAAATTGCATCACGACAAAGCACCAAGCGCAGTAGGCTTGTTTCCTGGACCAAAACTGCTCGAAGACATACGAATATCTTTCCACACCAAGTTCACATGCCCAAGTGGTAGAACAGTAAGTTCGAGTGTGATCTTCCAAGTCTGCTGAGGAGAGATTATTGAGTTCTGTCTTCAGGAAAACTAGATTTTGGTTTTGTCTTTGCCCTTAGCCTGACGTTGAGAAGCTTAACCATTCTAGGTTCACCTACATAATGTAGAGATTGAGCAGATCAAGATACTCTCTTATTTCCTTCTAAACTGAGTTGAAAAGAAAATATTGGTGGACTCAGGAAGGTTGCTGTATATTACTTTACTGCCTATTACACCTTGAGAGAACTATGCAAGAAAGGAAATATATACTGTATCTTTTTGATGAATACAATAATACCTTAGACATACAAGTTGAAATCTAAGATAGTGGTCTGTTTGAACGTAGAGTCAGTTTAGACCATCACAATACAGCTGATTGTGCACAACTTCATTGGATCAATATAATGATTAGTATAGCATATGTTTTTAAAAATATTTATATGACATATAAATTGTGGCAATAAAAGTGAAAAATAACAAAAGTAAAATTCTTCCAGTGTATTGTCTATTGTCTTTAGAGCTAAGGATGTTTGGTTTTGTTTTGTTTTTTTTATAGTGTCTTCTGAATCAGGAATGTGGCATGACCTTCTTTTCTACCCCGTTCTCCTAAAATTGTCATGGATTTATAGCGTGGTTGTAGGCTGGTGGGCAGGAAAGGGGCTGACATCTAAGATACTCTGTATACTGAACACTGTGAATGTTCTCAGATATGCCTCCTCCTTTTGCCTCCCAGTACCCTGATGATAAATGATTTGCCTTTGTTTTTACAGAGGATGACATGGAGATACAGCCATTAGGTGACTCAACCAGTTAATACGGTGAATAAGGGAAAGAGCTGGGATTTGAACTACAGATAGGGTAGAATGCCCTTATGGGATTTTAATTGTTGTACCATGGTCAGACTCAACAGGTAGTATTTAATATGATAAGTTAAAAAGGATCTGGCATATAAATGCTCAAATATTACAACTCAGCTCCCCAAGGTGAATGTATAAGAATTGCACGTGCCGAGTCATGCTCACTTGGCTAACCTAGGAGAAGGCAGTGTTCACCAGGGATTGATCAATATCTGCCTCTGAACCTGATTAGAGTTGACCCCAGCTCTGATATTAGGATGGTGAACACTGTAGACATATGTTAGGAGGTGACTGGGGCTTCACCAGTCCTTGAAGACTCTGTGACACCCAGGACAGTCACAGCAAGTGGGGATGGATACTTTGTTTCAAGTATTCAGAGACATCTCAGGAGGTAAGTGTGGTCATTGGTCTATAGCCAGAGGAGCCCAGGTAAAGCAACTCCCCCAGCCCTCAGATGGCATATTCAGTAACACCACTGGACTTTACCCTGATCAGAATAGACAGCCAAGCCCACAGGGAGGACAGCAAACCTCAACTCAAGGACACAAAACGACCCAGCAAGGGTGACATGAATGCAGTGGCCCTGGCATTTGCAATGGCTCTGTCTGGGGGGAGATGGGAGAGACAGGCTGCCTCCACTGTCACTAGCATTTTATTTTAAAATGCAGTGCGAGTAAAGGAAATTGAAATCTACTTGCCACCAGACAGGATGACACTGTTGTAGGGCATGAATCAGGTTATCTGAAGGTTGTGATGGATTAGGAAAGGCTGTCTCCTGCTGACAACAGGGAAAGTTCCTGCCAATTCGCCAATTCTGCAGTGATCAGAGGAGACAGTCAGAGGTTTTTTTTTTTTTTTTTTTTTTTTTGTCTTTCTTCTGTCTTTTCTGAGCATGGAAGCGGGAATGGGCAGAGGTGGAGGCAGGCCTTCAAACTCAGTAGTCCGTGGCTGTTGCTGGCAGAGTCATTTCCCCACTTCTTTCTTTGCCCTTGCTCCCTCCTGCTGTGAGGTGGGGGCGTGGGGGACAGAGACCAGCCCCCATCTCAGCAGCTGCCCCTGAATAACTGAGGAAGGGCGTGCTCTATTCTATCTCCATTTTCCAGGGAGGCCCCAGCTCAAGCTGCTGCTCCAACAGCACAGTCCTACCCCACAGGTTTTGATCCGGGCCAAAAGGGGTACAATTGATTCTGCGGTGCTCAGATTCTGGATGCAGTACGAGGGGACATTGTTCCTCTGCAGATGCTGCGGCTGCTGGTAGGAACCTCCACTATGTCTGGGTTTCAGCCTGGCAGACCCAAGGAAACAGATTTCAGTATAAGTGGATCCTGGCTTCAAAAGAAAGGAACAGTGAGACCCTCCCAGCCCACACCTTTCTTCCACGTGCCTAAGAATGGCTGAAAAGCCTTCCCCAGGAGAGCAACCTTGAACCCATACTAAAGTGGAGGCTTTAAGCTATGACGAAATTCTTAACCTTTCTTAGTTTTTTTTCCTCTCTTTTTTCAGTCATTTAAAGAAGCCTATGAACTCCATCTGAAAATAATGTTCTAAATTCCATAAACGAAAATAATAGGAAGTCAATTATATTGCAAGGTCCTTCTAAGAATCTTTGGTTTAAAATATAATTATGATCCAATTACTTCAGAAATAAATTCTGTCTCCCCAGTAAAATTATAATACATTTTTGGTTCAGCTAAACCTCCCCCCACCTCTTTTTCTCCCTAAAACTCCCCTTTCGAAGAGTCCCTCCAGATCTCTCCCTCAAGTAGAGTACCCAGCATAGTTTTCGAGTTCATTAAAGACATATTTCTCTTTAATTCATTATAAATTATAGGTTTAAAAAGGTAACTTAAAATACCTCAGTTTCTCATTGCTCCTTACTCATCCTCTGCCGATGGGGAAAATAAAATTCCACTCCCTTAATTAAATCAGTGAATGTGAACAAAAAACATCAACATGTTTTTATCATTGAGAAACCTGCACTAAGTAATGAAGTTACTCCTGGTTACTTGTTAGGACTTTTTCAGCCAATGCTCTCTGAACCCATGGGCTCTGTCCTGAGACCATCTGTAGAATTATCTAAGGTTTTCTGTGCTCAACATGGGAAGAGTTCACATGCTGAAAAGGACAGAGGCTTGTGGGTGGGGTCACTGCTTACCCCTTACCCTAACAGAAGGCACAATATGGGGTCCACTCACAAACGCAAAGATGTAAGTGGACCTTTGAAGGCATTCAGTGATTTGCTGCTTGGTCAGGCCAATTATGAGAGAAGTGTCTTCTACGGAAGGCTTCGCCTGGTGGAAAACCTCAGCAATTGTTTATTAGATTAGAAGACATTCAAATTATATATTGAGCTTGGAAACAGCTATGACAGGTAGAGCGACTCCTAGGTGTCAGGCTTTCTTCTAGGTATTTGTGTTGTTTTAGGTAATTTTCATCACAACTCTGTGAGTAGTTACTGTTATTCCCATTTTTCAGGAGGAGTAAGGTTCAGAAGTCAGATTGGGAGAATATAGATTTTTCACTCCCCAGTCTGCTTAGGTCCAAAGCCCACATACTTCTTTCCTCCTTCCCAACTCCCCACCAATGTCACACAGACAATAAGGAGACCAGCTGTACAATGTAAGGGTTTGGAGGAGCTTAAAGTAAGGGAGTCCCTGCAACCTCTGCACCCAGCAGAGCATCCTTGCACACGGTAAGTGCTCAACTAAGTATGTGTGTTATTTATTATTCTTGTTATTATTAGGTTTATTTTTCTTCTGCGTTTGAGGAGGTAAAACTGAAAAGGCAGTTTGAGTTTCTTTTATAGGACTGGGAAAGGCTTTTGGAATGCCCGATTGAGCCTCAGATTTTATTCTGAAGTTTATAAGAAGTCATTAGCTATCTTTTATAGGGGATGACATTAAAAAAGATTAGCATGGGTGCCACATGGATGGAATGAGAAAGCTGATATTACAGACAGCCAGAATCAATTGTATAAGAGTTTGGACTTCAGGGCTTCTGCAAATCTCCTGATACACACAAAATTTTGTATGCCTATGCACAATTACATTTTTCTGGGGAAAAAAAGATTCATAAATTTTAATAAAACCTCAAAGGAGTCTATATGCACAATAAAGTTTATGGATCACAAGATAAAAACCCAGACTAAGCTGACAGTGGCAAGAATACAAAGGCAGGGATCAATTAAAATGTTTCTGGGTAAATTAATAGGATTTAGTGACTGATTACTTGTAGGCAACAAAGGGAAGAAATGAACCAAAGATAATAAAAATGTTTTAAATTTGACCATCTCATATTGTTGTCATTGGAAATGAGAAAGAAAGGAAAGAAGGGAAGGGAGGGGAGGGGAGGGGAGAGGGGAGGGGAAGGGAAGGGAAGAGAAGGGAAGGGAAGGGAAGGGAAGGGAAGGGAAGGGAAGGGAAGGGAAGGGAAGGGAAGGGAAGGGAAGGGAAAGGGAAAGGGAAGTCAGGAACCTGTTGAGGTTGTAATGACAAGGAAATATTCAAGAGGAAGCCTTTCAGAACCTTCATACACTTGGTGAGAATGTAAATTCGTACAACCACTATGGAGAACATTTTGGAGCTTTTTCTAAAAACTAAAAACAGAGCTATCATATGGGGGAATCCAGCACTTCCCTCGCTGGGTAGAGACCTGAAAGAAAGGAAATCAGTATGACAAAGAGATAGCTGCACTCCTATGTTTGCTGCAGCACTGTTCACTATAGCCAAGATTTGAAAGCAATCTAAGTGTTTACCAATAGATGAATGCATATAGAAAATGTGGTACAAATATACAATGGAGTATTACTCAGCCAGAAAAAGAATGAGATCCTGTCATTTGCAACAACATGGATGGAGCTAGAGATCATTATGTTAAGTGAAATAAGCAAGGCATGGAAAGACAAGCATCACATGTTCTCACTTACTTGTGGGATATAAAAATCATAACAATTGAATTCATGAACACAGAGAGTAGAAGGATGGTTACCAGAGGCTGGGAAGGGTAGTACGAGGTGAGGGTGAGTGGGGATAGTTAATGTTAATGGGTATAAAAAAAAAATAGAATGAGTAAGACTTACTATTTGATAGCACAACAGGTTGACTATAGTAATAACTTAATTGTACATTTTAAAATAACTAAAAGAATATAATTGGATTGTTTGCAACACAAAGGATAAATGCTTGAGGGGGTGTAATTCTCATTCTCTATGATATAATTATTATACATTGCATGCCTGAATCAAAACATTTCACTTACCCAATAAATATATACACCTACTATGTATTCACAAAATTAAAAATAAAAAAATTCTTAAAGAATCTTCAAAAATAATAGCAATAACATAAGCAAAATATTTCATAAATAATATTGATTACATGTGGAAATATACTATTTTTTATATATTCAGTTAAATAAAAAACATTCAAACTTAAAAAAAACTAAGAAGAAACCTTTCACTTTAGGGAAAAGTAGAAACAAATCCTGAGGAAGACATGATTTTATTGTTATCTCTGTGGAAATGTTCACTGAGAGTCTTGAAAATGAGATACCTTCTGGGTAGAAAGAGACCAGAATGGTGTAGGATCCCAAGAGCTAAGAGAGTTTTGAGATAAAAAGAAATAATCAGGCCGGTCACAGTGGCTCATGCCTGTAATCCCAGCATTTTGGACGGCCAAGGCAAGCAGATCACAAGGTCAGGAGTTTGAGACCAGCCTGACCAACATGGTGAAACCCCGTCTCTACTAAAAATACAAAAATTAGCCAGGTGTGGTGGTGCGCTCCTGTAATCCCAGCTACTCGGGAGGCTAAGGCAGGAGAATCACTTGAACCCAGGAGGCGGAGGTTGCAGTGAGCTGAGATCACACCACTGCACTCCAGCCTGGGCGACAGAGCAAGACTCCATCTCAAGAAAAAAAAAAAAAAAGAGTAAGCAGATGCTTTTAAGAGATCAAGGAGATTGCTGGCTTGTGAAACCACCACCTGGACAACTCGTTGATGAGACAAAGCTAAGTCCACTGGTGAGGGAGAGTACTATTTTGATAGAGCCTACATAGCATCTCAGGGGATGGGGCAAAGTCAGAATATATATGAGATTTGGCAGTTTGGTTTAAGGTGAGCCTTTTTTTTTTTTTTTTTTTTTTTTTTTTTTGAGATGCAGTCTCACTCACTCTGCCACCCAGGCTAGATGCAGTCACACGATCTCTGCTCACGGCAACCTTCGCCTCCCAGGGTCAAGCAATTCTCCTGCCTCAGCCTCCCAGGTAGCTGGGATTATGGGCAAGCACCACCACACCCAGCTAATTTTTCTATTTTTTGTAGAGATGGGGTTTCACCTTGTTGTTCAGGCTGCTCTAGAACTACTGACCTCAAGTGATCCACTCACCTCGGCCTCCCGAAGTGCTGGGATCACAGGCATGAACCACTGTGCCTGGCCAAGGTAGGTCTTTTAATGCAGGGTATTTTTAGGACAGTAGTTATCATATAGTCATTAGGATTCGTGGACATAAGAAGAGGGTTTTCAGATGAAGGTTTTTAAGAGACTTGTACAGTAAGCAGATATCTGATGCTATCTATTAAAAGATGGAACAGTCTGATGTTCACTTAAATGAGTTTTTCAGGAAGTTCCTGAAGAAAAGAATAAAGTTGTTAGCAATTTTCTTCTTATTGGGCAAGAATTTCCAGTAGAGGGGAGATAAATCTTTTCCCTCTATCCTCTTATATTCAGTTTCTGAGGCCTGCTAATTAAACTGATAAAAGAAAAGACAGGTTAACAGGAGAAAGGCATACTTTTGTTGTTGTTGTTAATATTTTAATCTTTATATGCACAAAGACCTTCACAGAAAGAAGTGAAGGCCCAAAAAAGTGGTTACATCTGGAAGGTTATATACCATTTTAACAAAGGGTAATAAATTGTGGTGAAATGGTGACATGAAGGAAAAGAGGTTTTGGCTTCTTGGAATAGTAAATGGTAGGAAGGAGGAGCAGTCTAGTGAAAAATAAGGGCAGTTTTAATAAGGTTTGTATGTACAGACCCATGTTGGTACCAAATTTCTGTCTCCAGGGATAATGGTTGTTTTTCCTCCTCTTGTATGTGAGAGTGGAGGGGGAAGAACGTCACAAAGCGAAGTTTATCCCCTACTTCTAGAAAGATAGGGGAGGACAGAGAGAGAGCTCCTTGTGTACTTACTACTTAATTGACTTCAGCTCAAAGCAATCTTTATGCCCAAGTGGCAGAGAGTGGAATGTTATATGCTGATCCACTTCACTGAAATAGTAAGGCACATCAGTGAAGACAGCATGAGAGTAAAGTCATGTTAGTGAAGATAGCCAAATAATACAGTGATGCTTACATAGTCAACAAGTTGTTGATGTGAATGGTTTTGAGTCTCAGAAGTAACAAATTGCCAGCAAAGCTAGTTAGTGGGAAGTTGTTGATGCTCTTTGAAGCTACAGGGGTTTGAATTGCTCAAGAATTCACCCAAATTCCTTGTCTCCCTTCACGGCTGCCACACTCTCACTCCTCAACCCCTGAGGTCTGCCTAGATGTAGTCCAGTCTAGTCTTACAGCCAGCACCGTGCTCTACCATCTAACCTCAATCCCACACAGAACGGGGCCACCAGATTGTTTTCAACTCTTCCATCATCGAGGTCCTAATGTGCCTATTATTTGAATACATTTGCAGTGCTAACTTCAAAACACTCCATTTGAGAATCAAAAGAACAAAATGTTTTCCAGTCTGCTGCAATTTTTCTCAGGCCAAACATTCACCCTCCCCGCCCCCAGAAAAAGTAGAGAAGAGGATTTTAAGTCACTACCAAGAGTAAGGAAGAGAAACTCTTCGCTTCCCATATTTGGAATACTTGTACGGCTCTGAAGCATGCAGCAAGGGGGGCGGCTGAGCGGTTTCTTTCTCGCCCTAGCCTTCGCCTTTCCTTCTCTCTGTCTGCCCACTACTGGCAATTGTAGCAGGAAGCAGCCTGCTCCCAGACAATTTCCTGAAAATAGAACAAGAGGAGCAAAGGATTTATTCCCTGAAACAAGGAATCTCAGGAATCTTCATTCATCTTCATTATTATTAGATATCTGCATTCCCTCCCAGAGAGAAACAGAATGTTCCCACCCTGAGGTTGAGCAAATATACCACACCATCTGTGATTACAGGAATATTTTTTTCTCAGAGGATTTTTGTTTTCCTTTGAGAATTTTTGTCTGCAGGACACAAGCCCTGCCCTGTTAAAGCTTATTGCAGACATAAAGCCCTTACTGCTGTGTGTGGTGCTCACCTTTCACGGTGAAGGTCAAGGCAACAATTCAGATACGTACATCTCCATTGAAACTGTCAGCTTGCTGATCTTACTCTTAAGGGTGTCTTGAATGTCTGTGTTAAAATATTTTATTCTCTGCACCAGTTCCTGCCTTGAAAATGGCTGAGATGACGGAGAATTGCACCATGAGTCAGCTAAAAAGAATGCAAAGAAGTCAGAGGTTCTGCCGTGGGTTTGGATGCCTCTAATGCATGACCTTAGAACTGACAAAATAAAGACAAGCTATTCTCTGAGGGTGGCATCCACATAATGTTACTATTCACAATGACTACAACGCACTGGGTCACTTTATATGTATGGCACATATGAATTGCAGTCCATAACATCAGTGTGCAGGAAATATCACATTTTCCCCTAAACCAAAAACAGTCTGATGTGATCTGCCATCCATTAGGTTACCAGAAAATTTTATTTCAGCTATGACATGGGTTCCTACTCTACAGCCCATTGTTTGAGAAGGTCCCAAGAGTCTGTAAACAAACAGTACAGGACATTTAGGAAAATGCCCTCCGTGTTTTAGATCACACAGGTCACTTCTGATTTGTTCTTTGTCCACAACTGTAGACAGATGAAAGACTGAATCCAGCTGTCCAGGTGGGTAAATTATTTAATCTCCCTAAATCTCAATTTTCTTTTCCACAGAATAATTGTGCCTACCTTGTAGTGAGGATGAAACAAGAGAAGAAAAGGGAAGTACATAGTGGAGGCACTCAGAGTCTTTTCTTTCCACACCTCCCCTCATAAACCTTCTGCCTCCAGTCACGCTCCATTTACCTTTCTCTAGTTGGTTGTCAGTACTCTTTCTACTGGGGGTACACAAAAGACAGTTTGGGGTTTGTTTTTTGTTTTGTTTTAGAGACAGGGTCTCACCCTCTTGCTCAGGCCAGAGTACAGTGGCATGATCGTGGCTCACTGCAACCTTGACCTCCTGGGCTCAAGCAATCCTCCCATCTCAGCTGCCTGAGTAGCTAGAACTACAGGTTCATGCCACCACAACTGGCTAATTCCTCCCTCCTACCTTCCTTCCTTCCTTCCTTCCTTCCTTCCTTCCTTCCTCCCTTCTTTCCTTCCTTTCTTTCTTGATTGTAGGGATGGGGGTCTCACTATGTTGTCCAGCCTAGTCTGAAACTCCTGGACTCAAACAATCCTCCCACCTCAGCTTCCCTGAGTGCTGGGATTACAGGCGTGAGCCACTATGCCCAATCAAGACAATTATTAAGGCTTAGCTTTGGCCTCAACAAATTCTGCCATCATTTTCGCTCCTGTGCTATCCAAATACTGGAACTCCACACATCTGTAGCGATGCTGTGAATAATGACAAAAATTGCCTTAAAAGCATGGGACACCTGGGGACTAAAGAAGACTAGGAGGTGTAAGTGACTATGGAGAAGAATCTGTGATTGTTTCTGTCTCCAGGTGATATATCACATGGACTTCGCTCATCTAGAAAATGTGGGTCTTCTGCTAGGGCAGACATTTCGGTAAATCACAAAGGCACCATCAGAAGACACAAGCAAGTTATTTAGACAAAGGGCTTATTTATCTTTATCAAAACTGGTTACCGTGCTTTCTCTTCTGACACTCTAAGCAGGTTCTTTGACACTGTGATTTTGCAAACCTAGGAAACAACGAAAATGACAAATGGGATGCACCAAAACAGAAGCTGGGGGTGTGAGAGGAAACCCTTTCCATTTCACATCACAACTGTATACACTTCATCTTCTCTCGCACCTAACTCTTCCTCTTTTCTCTATAAGGAAATTAATTTTTCGGCAGAGTGCTACAGAAATTTTTCCCATGGAGATTGTTAGAAATCTGTCACTGGGCGTGGTGGCTCACGCCTGTAATTCCAGCACTTTGGGAGGCCAAGGCAGGTGGATCACGAGGTCAGGAGATCGAGACCATCCTGGTTAACACGGTGAAACCCCATCTCTATTAAAAGTACAAAAAAGTTAGCCGGACGTGGTGGTGGGCACCTGTATTCCCAGCTGCTGGGGAGGCTGAGGCAGGAGAATGGTGTGAACCCGGGAGGCGGAGCTTGCAGTGAGCCGAGATCGCGCCACTGCACTCCAGCCTGGGCAACAGAGCGAGACTCCATCTCAAAAAGAAAAGAAAAGAAAAGAAATCTGTCATGCATTGGGCAAAAACTGAGCACCTGGATGACTGCAACTATTAAATCAACAGCATTTAATTTCACACTGTTATACTGTTTGCTCATTGCTACATGTGCTCTTTTAATTAGTCTTAAAGGATCGTGTTTCTTGCAGCTATAAAGTCATATCTGTAGCAACATTCCATTACAGTAGGTGTTCAGCACTTTTTGATTAAGTCCCATATTGGTAAAACTACACACGGAAAGGGGAGCCCTATGTAGCACATCTGTGCAAAACCAACAAACAAGAAAATCCCATAAAAGCAGGGCAAGAACTCCAGTCTGTAGTCTATTTAATAGCAGGGACTTTGTCTTCTGTCATCACCACAGAATCTAGCACAAAGCTGGGCGTACAGTAGGTTTCCAATAAATGCTTGCTGAATTGAACCTCTTTCTGCCACAGGTGGCATGGAGACAGAAATGACAATTCAGGTTTGTCACACCTCCTGGACATTCTGTATTTCTTTTGAAAGTTGGTCTGAGAGAAAGAATTCATTTGCTGCAAAAGACAGTATGTCAAAATTTCCACTTTGAACTCTAAAGAAAAAAAAAAACTATCAAATAATGTAAATAAATTATTCTGATAAGCATAATAATAGCTTCAGGAAGGTAAATCACAGCTAGCGTGTTCATTGTTGACAAGGAAGACGGCAATAAGAAAGCAGCGTAATAGTAAACACAAAATAAAAACACGCCAACAGCATCTTAACCAGCAAACCACAGCTGTTATTTATTTATTTATTTATATTTATTTTTATTTATTTATTTATTTTTTTGAGACGGCGTCTTGCTCTGTCGCCCAGGCTGGAGTGCAGTGGCCGGATCTCAGCTCACTGCAAGCTCCGCCTCCCGGGTTTACGCCATTCTCCTGCCTCAGCCTTCCGAGTAGCTGGGACTACAGGCGCCCGCCACCTCGCCCAGGTACTTTTTTTTTTTTTTTTTTTTTTTTTTTTTTTAGTAGAGACGGGGTTTCACCGTGTTAGCCAGGATGGTCTTGATCTCCTGACCTCGTGATCTGCCCATCTCGGCCTCCCAAAGTGCTGGGATTACAGGCTTGAGCCACCGCGCCCGACCTAACCACAGCTGTTCTGAGTGCATTCAGCGCCCAGGGCTGTCACGTCCTCATGTGTTTCTCATTCCTCCTGATTCACATGCCCAGTGATGAGTTAAGATATAAATTCAGTGGTTATAACAAAGGCTCCACAACTTAAAAATGGCTTAGACCAGATTAAGGTACATTTCTCTTTTATCTAAAACACTATGTAGGCACTTCAGGGTAGATAGGGTGGCTCCATAATCTTGAGGGTCCCAGACTATTTCTATCATATTTCTCTGCCATTCACAGCTTCAGGTTTCATCTCCTATCCCAGTATGGCTGCTTTGGCTCCTACCATCACAACTGCATCCCAGCCAACAGAAATAGGAGAGGTGAAGCTTAAAATATGTTGTAACACGGAGATTTTTCATATTGGTTCCTCCAGAATCCAATGTTTTTGCCTCCTACAAAGGAAGCTTGAAAGGAAGAATTTTCTGTGCATTGTTAAAATTTGGGAGTGGTATTATCAAAAGAAGAAGATGAGAATGGATTCTGAGGAACAATCAGCAGTCTTTGCCATACTATGCCTACTGTTCGGTAATCTCCCAGGTTTTTCTAGTGACGTAGAGCAGTCATTCCCAAGTTTGTTTAGGAGATAAAATACCCAGGAATCATTAGCTAAACAGGAACATGAGATGCTCAATATCAATGTTTAAAACAAATGAAAAGCCTTCTATGGAACAATAGCCCCACAAGATAGAGTGGAGAAAAACTATGGTGCTGAAGTCAAATATGTTTGGAAAATGTAGCTCCATTTTTTCCTGGAGATCTGTAAGGTACAATCTCATTTCGCAGACTCTGAGGAAACAGTTTAATTTTGTTTAAACCAGTATTCCCCAAACTTATTTGACTGAAGAGTTTTTTATATAAGCCCTGAATCCCACAGAATTAGTACGCTACAAAATACGCATTGGAAAACAGATTTCATTTCATCCTCCAAAGTGGGAAATGTAATTGCTAACTATTGTAACCGCCCAATGGGTTCACCTTGTCCACTGCCTAGACAGGGCTGATTTATCAAGGCAGAAGAAGGGGGAATTGCAGTGGAGAAAGAGTAATTCATGCAGGGTTGGCTGTGAGGGAGACTGGAGTTTTATTGTTACTGAAATTGGGGATTGGAGGGTTTGTTTGTTTGTTTTGTTTTTGTTTTTTTGAGACGGAGTCTCGCTCTGTCTCCCAGCCTGCAGGGGGATCAGAGTTTTCAAAGATTAATTTGGTGGGTAGGGGCTTGGGAAGTAAGGAGTGCTGATTAGTTGGGTTGGAGATGGAATCATAGGGGGTTGAAGTGAGGTTTTCTTGCTGTCCTCTGTTGCTGGGTGGGATGGCAGAACTGGTTCAGTCAGATTACCTGTGTGGGTGGTGGTGATCCATCCAGTGCAGGGTGTGCAAACTATCCCAAGCACTGATCTTAGGTTTTGCAGTAGTGATGCTATTCCCAGGAGCAATTTGGGGAGGTTCAGACTCTTGGAGCCAAAGGCTGTCTGACACCTAAACCACAATTTCTAATCTTGTAGTTAATTTGTTAGTCCTGCAAAGACAGACTGGTCCCCAGGCAAGAAGGGAGTCTTTTCCAGAAAGAGCTGTTATCAATTTTGCTTCAGAGCCAAACCATGAACTGAATTCCTTCCCAAAGTAAGTTCAGCCTATGCCCAGAAATGAACAAGGACAGCTTAAAGGTTAAGAGCAAGATGGAGTCGGTTAGGTCTGATCTCTTTCACTGTTATAATTCCCTCAGTTATAATTTTGCAAAGGCAGTTTCACTGTAAGAAGAAGAAAATCACAACTGTAAGCGCTAGTGTTCCAAAATAAAACAAGCCCTTGGACTAAGAATAATCAGGTGTTTCTGACTCTGTTGTTTTTTATGTG